CCAGTATTCCAGAAGATGGGGGTTTATGTGAGATCCAACACCTCTGCCTGAGAATGAGTCATAAAACCACTAGCACTCTATTCCTCAGCATTCTGCCATCTAGCCCCAACCGAATTGAACCATGCAAAATGAAAAAGAAATCAGGAACACACCGAACTTAAAACCTCGAGTACATTTTAAATCCTGTTTTAAATTCATTTAAATTAACAGAGGTCAGGCTACTTCTTTATTCAAGCTGGGCTATTCTTACTGCTTTAATACCACATTTTTCTACTAAAAAATTTTTAAAAATACCCTGACAGAGGAACATTCTAAAACTCAGTAGAGAATATGGAAACAGCTCACAATAAACCTTGCCTTCTAGAATAACTAATGGAGGAAATTACCCAGTTATTTGGCCATGAAAAACAACTACTTGTGTGTTTTTATGTATTTTGCAGGTCACAAATTAAAAGCATGCTTTTTATTTTCTAGCATAGCATTTTTCCTAAGTGTTTTACAAAGAACACCAGTGCAGCAAGACAAAAGCAAGTTAAATGGGTTTGAGGAACTTCCCCTTTCTGAGAATGACTGACACACACTTGCATATTAAGGAGTCTGAGGAGTCCTACAGTAAACTCTGTGGAATCTAGCAATTTCCCAAGTTCATTTGGCCCTGCAGCCCTTTTTCTCTCATAGCACTTTATCAACATCCCACAAAATGACTGTTCTGCAGAGCACATTTCAGGAAAGATTCCTCTAGAAAAGGGATCAATGAAATGGTTTTATAGCTGAAACTCTGGAGTCGGCCTGATTCAAGTAACAGCTTCACTACTTAATTAGCTGTGGGACACTGGGCAAGCTTCTAAGCACCACCTGTCCCTCAGCTCCTGCAGGTAAAATGGGCAAAATAATAGCACCTACCTCCCAGGCATAGGTCTTTCCACATGACTGGAAGAATCTTCTGGGAGCTTCATGTGGCCAGTTCCTTTTTGTCATGCAGGTCTCAATTTACAATATCACCCCCTGCAAGAGGCCTTCCCTGATCAACCAATATCAAGTTAGCCCCACCCAGGTCGCTAGTTCTTCATCCTCTTATTTTATTCATGATACTTCTCTGTGGTTTTTTTAATGTTTTATTTATTTCTGAGAGAGGGAGAGACAGCATAAGCAGGGGAGGTCAGAGAGGGAGACACAGAATCTGAAACAGGCTCCAGGCTCTGAGCTGGCAGTCAGCACAGAGCCTGATGAGGGGCTCAAACCCATGAACCGCGAGATGATGACTTGAGCCAAAGTTGGACGCTTAACCGACTGAGCCACCCAGGCGCCCCTGCTTAACTTTTAAATTATATTTCACCCCTAGAGAATACAAATACAATGAAGTCAAACTTTATTAGTTATTATTGCTTCATCCCCAAACAGATCCTCATTAAGTGCTCACTGAATGGATGGATAAATGAATGAATGAGGTGATTGTGAGAGTTAAAAAGGTACCAATGTAAACCATTCTTCAAGGTGACACATAAGCATCTACCCATATGTGGTTATGAAAACTTCTGATGAATGACGACTGGTTGAGGAACTCATAATTCTTGCACTATTTAACCTGCCTCTTCTTGCTGTGTTGTGGGTAAACATTTCATGGCATTTATTCAGAGATGTGTTCGTAAATGGGCTTTATGGATGGGGTGGTAGAGATGTAGGCCTGGGGGGAGGATTTGCTGATTTCCATGGTATAAATGCTCCCACCAAGACTAATTTCAAGTTATCAATGGCTTAAAAGCAGGCTCCACAAAATTCCTGAAAATGTAGCAAATGGCTCTCAGAAGCCAGAATAATCCTTCTCCTGGGGAAGGTCTTTTCAGGGATCCAAGTCTTATTTGTTAAGTTTAAAATGAGACTCTTTTTTAAATGTATAGAGACACCTTTTCCACATCCTCCCTTCTTAATGAGCCAAGAAAAAGGCAATCCACTGACTTTCATCTGATGCTCAAGGAAACTAGCTGGATGTGTTGGGCTGTATTTTCTGTACCACTAATCTGTGGGCTCTTTGACTGATATTTAAAACTCTGAACATGATCTATTTCCATGCCAGACCACTGGGAAGACAAGCTAATCTCATAAAACACTAATTGAATTGTGTTTAGATTCATTTAAATGGAGGCATCCACACAAAAGAGTCAAGGCACCATCTACTTAGTGCTACCAATGAGCAGAATCCAATAACAGAAAGGGAGTGACTCTACCCTGACCACAAGACTCCAACATGGAATCAAGGTCAATGCTGCAGATGGAGGTTTCTCTGGCATCACTGCCCTACTGTACATGCAACATGACCCCTTGGTACCCAAAATAAAGCAGCGGCTTTTTTATTCAACTATGGCAATCTCCTAGCTATAGCTCTAAGATAACACAACCACAGCTTCAAAATCCATCCATTCTGTGTGCAAGTGATTACATGACAGTAGTTATTGCTCCTCTTCCGTAAACTAAATGTAAAGTCTATGGAGTAAGGCACGAAGAAGTTAGTTTCTGCTCCACTGTATTAGCTACTTTTTGCTGTGTAACAAATTATCCTCAATTTCAGCAGCTTAAAACAACACACATTTATTATCTCACAGTTTCTGTGGATCAGGAATCCTGGCATAGATTAGCTGGGTCCTTTGCTTCATAGTCTCTCACAAAGCTGTAATCAAGGTATCAGCCCAGGGCCTGTCATCTTACCTGAAGGTTCCACTGGGAAAGGATCCAGTCCAACCTCACAAAAAGGTTGTTGGAAGTCTTCAGTTGTTTGTCGCTGTCTGAGTGAGGGTCTCAGTTCCTCACTGTGTGTTGACTAGAGGCTATTCTCAGTCCCTCACCACATAGGTCTCTCTCCCTATTAGCTTACTTCATCAAAGCAGCAAGTTGAGAGCACAAAAGAGTTGGCTAAAAAGATGGAAATAAGGGGCTCCTGGGTGGCTTAGTCGGTTAAGTGTCCGACTTTCGCTTGGGTCATGATCTCGCGGTTCGTGGGTTCGAGCCCCGCGTCGAGCTCTGTGCTGACTGCCGGCTCAGAGCCTGGAGCCTGTTTCAATCTGTGACTCCCTCTCTCTCTGACCCTCCCCTGCTCACGCTGTCTCTGTCTCTCTCTCCTAGAAATAAATAAAACATTAAAAAAAAAAAAAAAAGATGGAAATAAGTATGATATAACCTAATCATGGAAGTCACATTGGCATCCTATTTCTTTCACCATATTCTAACTGTTTAGTCACTAGGCTCAGTCTATATTCAAGGACATGGATTTACAAAGAGGCATGAATTCCAAGAGGTACAAATCACTGGGGGCCATCTTAGAAGCCTGTCCATGATTCATTCCTCCCATCATGGATGGGAAGACCCAGGCCCAACAAAACATCTCTTTAAGCATCTCATTACAAAACCAAGCCCTGTGGTTTCCCAAGCATGTTGCTAATATCTCATGAAAATAAAACAAGGGGGTATAAGCAAGAGGACATTAAATGTGAAGACACAAATGTCTGCTCAAATGTTCTAAACAAATACAATCAATATCAGAGAAAACACACAGGAGCATCTACATTAGCAAACCCTGTCATGGAAGTCATATATTCTGAACAACCAAACAAGTGACTCACAAGAACTGCTCATCAAGGGTTCCTGGATGGCTCAGTTGACTGAGCATCCAACTTCAGCTGAGGTCGTGATTCCACAGCTCAGGAGTTCGAGCCCTGCATTGGGCTCTATGCTGACAGCTCAGAGCCCAGAGCCTGCTTCAGATTCTGTCTCCCATCTCTCTCTCTCTCTGCCCCTTCCCTGCTCACACTCTGTCTCTCTCCCTCTCAAAAATAAATAAACATTAAAAAATAAAATAAAATAAAAAACAAGAACTGGCCATCCAAAAAAGTATATGATGCTAAGAAATCTAGTTTGGCCTGAATGCAAATAAGTTTTGGAATTTTTATTTACTGCTATAGCATATTTTTTAATGCCATGTTATTGCTTCCTATTTTCTGTGAGATCTGTGTCTCCCATTGCATTTTGCCTGCATGGTACTTTTGAGATCCATACCCACCACTATGGAACTGCTATAAAAACTTCAAGCCTTGGCTGTCACCCACATTTTTCCTAAGCTCTATCCAACTACGTATCCTCATATATCTGTGCATCCCAACATTCGATAGTAGTGGCAGGCCAGAGAGGTGGCCTCTGAAGGACTTCAAATGATTTTAATCCACTAAGTGTAAAATGTATACTCAGAAAACCTGGAACATTTGTCTTAGACAAAAGAAAATTCAGACAAAGATGGTTTTAAACCTAAATGTTCAAAACTAGTCTGCACATTTTACCATTCTTCCCAGAAAGATCCATATGCTTTACTTTCTACAAATGTTACCCCAATTCACCTATGAAAATATTTAGGTTCATTGTTTCGCTAATCACCTATTTGTGTTCCTCCTTTAGAGAGATAATTCTTTTTTTTTTTTTTTTTAAATATTTTTTTATTTATTTCTAGGAGAGAGAGAGACAGCGTGAGCAGGGCAGGGTCAGAGAGAGAGGTAGACACAGACTCTGAAATTGGCTCCAGGCTCTGAGCTGGCAGTCAGCACAGAGCCCGACGCGGGGCTCGAACCCACGAACTGCGAGATCATGACCTAAGCGAAAGTCGGACGCCCAACCGACTAAGCCACCCAAGCACCCCCTAGAGAGATAATTCTTGATAACCATCTAAACTCTGAAACTATGGCCATCTGTGGGAAAGTAGCTGTAAGCCACCTTAGAGCTGGCATGTGCTGCACACACTCGGATCCTGAATACGTGTCGAGTAACATATGTATGGTGAGCAGAGAAAAGAACTGATACAAAATTCCAGTTTAAAGGTGACAAGCAGACAGGAAGGCTATAAAACAGATGCCAGGAAATTTTGTTAAGGCTGCAGATATCTTCCAACCTGTGAAAGTAACTTCGTAACATGTTTTCACTTGTAAAATATGGCTTTGAGGAAATAGAGTGAATATCCTTACCTCTCTAAGATGTATGTTTTCCTTCTCTTTCTGGTCTAAAATCACTTCCAAGTGGCTGACTTGAGACTCAGCCTCTGCCATCCGCCGTGTCCGCTCATTGTCATCCTCAAGACTTTTAGAAGGCAAACCTTTACTTTGCAACATCTCAAGAAGCTTTTTAATAGACTCATCTCGGGAATTGAGGGTCTGTTTCTGTGTTTCAATTCTCAGCTCCATTTCCTCCAAGGTCTTCCTTAAAAGGAACAGCTCCTTAGCTTGTCTGTCATGCTCAGCTTGGAGCCGCCGGAAGTTCTCCTCAGTCAACTCAATGGTGAAGTGCTCTGCTCCACGGTTGCCACTCTCTTGCTGCAGGAGGTGATTGAGGTCTCTCTGGGTTCGAAGCTCATCCTGAAGGGCTTGGATTGTCAACTGCAGGTGCTATGACAGAAAGATGGAGCAGGAGAGGAGAAAGAAGAGGAAAAAGTCAATGGAAATGCCAAGTGCTATTTGCTGCTACCACACTATGAAGATGGAATGTTAATCACGAGGTCCAGAGGGCCAGCCGTCAAGTCCTCCAGGGTGACTTCAGAAGCATGGGACAGCACATGGAGAGGGGGAAATTAATTCACTGATGCTTTCTGAATGTCTTAGGAGAAGAGAAATGTACACATACACAGGAACAGTATATTAGTGTCAGTCACAAGGGAAATTATACATCTAAAGAGTTTTAACTGAGGAAGTGGAAAGGGTTAGAAGGGAAAGTCTCACAAACACACCTTCTTTACACCTGCAATGCTCCAGACTCAGTATTCCCTGTTTCCTAAGGTGTTCTTTATTCTACTATCCATTATTTTCCATCAGAAATGCATTTCCATTTAAGACAATGAAAAAAATAGCATCCACTACAAGTAGACACAAACAAAGACTATTTTTTTTTACAAATAAAGCTGTGAACAGGTTTAGTAAACAGGATTACTGCATCTGCAAGCAAAAGGGAACAAATGCAGACAGGGACAGAAACAAACACACAAGGAGGTGAGGCTGTGCAGAGCAAAACAAACAAGCTGCAAAGAGTGGACCAACCTTGGTTCTTCTGGCATCCAGTAACTGAACAGCATGGGAAATGGAAAACAAAAAAAATGAAGCAAAAAATCAACACAAAGAAAAATCCAGTGCAAGCAAAGGATATTTAACAGAAAGAATCAACATAAAGTACCTTCACGGAGAAAGGAAAAAAAAAAAAAAAAAAACAATTGCTTATCAAAGCAAAGACCCATAAGCTACACAAAATCTATAGCACTGTTGTTTGATAAATGTGATCAATAGAGAAAAAAAAGAAGAAAAAGTTAGGTCAATTCCACCGTTTGTTTTCTTAAATCTCTCTGACCGAGGAACCTAAAGTCTTCGGTATATTACCAGGGAAGAAAGCACAACACTCCACAAGTACCCACATTTTATTCCAGGTCACTATTTTAACCAAAATCAGAGTGAAAACACCAGAGAAACAAAATAGTTACTGCTTATGAGAAAGTAAACAGTTGCCTGACAACAGTTCATAAATTCTGCAACACCTTCCCCACAGGATCAACTCCCAGGCTGGTCAAAACAGGCAGCCATAAGCCTGAAGGCATTTTCTTCCTAGGAACAAACCAGGATGCTTCCAAAACAGCAGTTCATCATTTACACACTCCTACCTGTAGACCAGACACAGAGTTAAGGGAGGGAATCAAAATGAGTACAAGGTGTATCTCCTGCTCCCAAGGAACTCACAGTATTTTAGCCATTAATAATATTATGTCTAAGTTATATACATATTGGAGCAGTCCACATTTTGAAGTCTTTCTGAATTCCTACAGCTGGTACCCAAGAGGTGTTGAGATCTTTCTGAGTGTGGCCTAGGAGTGATATTAGCACTCAATATTGCATCATCTTGATAAAACTGTCTTTCAGTTCACATACATCCACTGAGGCATTCCCAGGGCACAAAGAACAAGCATTCCCTTTCTCATCCATGTGCCACAGTGCCTCACTGGAAAGTGACTAGGAAAGAGCAACTGGCATGGGTGTTTAATGATAGTAATTATGAATTCTTTAATATAATTCAGTCCTGTAAAAAATTCAGTGGTTTTTAGTATAATCACAAAGTTGTACAATGATCCACACAATAAAGTTGAGAACATTTTCATTATTACAAAAGAAATGCTGCAGGATACAAAATTAACAAAGAAATCTGTTGTATTTCTTTAGACTAATAATGGAATAGAAGAAAGAGAAATTAAGAAAACAATCCCATTTACAAATGCACCAAACTGAATAAAATACCTAGAAATAAATGTAACCAAAGAGATGAAAAACCTATACTCTGAAAACTGTAAGACACTGATGAAAGAAACCGAAGACAAGACAAACAGACAGATACTCCATGTACATGGATTGGAAGAATTAATACTGTTAAAATGTGCATTCTACCCAAGGCAATCTACAGATACAGGACAATCCCTATTAAAATACCAATAGTATTTTTTCTCAGAACTAGAACAAATTATTCTAAAATTTGTGTGGAACAATAAAAGACTCCAAAGAGCCAAAGTAATCTTGGAAAAGACAAACAAAACTGGAAGTATCAAACCTCAGATTTCAAGATATACTACAAAGCTCTTGTAATCAAAATGGTACGGTACTAGCACAAAAGCAGCCAGAGAGAGCAACTAAATAGGATAGAGAGCTCAGAAATAAACCCATACTTATATGGTAAACTAATCTATGACAAAGGAAGCAAGAATATAAAAATGGGGAAAAGACAGACTCTTCAATAAATACTAGAAAAACTGGGCACACAGACACAAAAGACTAAAACTGGATCACTTTATTACCACACACAAAAATAAATTCAAAATGGATTGAAGACCTAAATTTGAGACCTGAAATCATAAAACTCCTAAAAGAAAAGACAGGCATTAATTTCTTTGATACCTGCCTTAGCAACATTTATAGATACATCTACTTAGAAAAGGGCTACAAAAGCAAAACTAAACTATTGGGACTACATCAAAATAAAAATGTTTTTTGCACAGCAAAGAAGACCATCAACAAAACAAAAAGGCAACCTACTAAATGAAAGAGGATGTCTGCAAGTGATAAATCTGACAAGGGAGTAATTAAAATATGTAAAGACTTACATGGCTCAACACTAAAATAACAACCCACTTATAAAGTGGGCAGAGTACCTGAATAAACATTTTTCTAAAGAAGACATACAAATGGTCAACAGGCACATGAAAAGATACTCCACATCACTAACCATCAGGGAAATGCACATTAAAACCACAATGAGATATCACTTCACATCAGTTAGAGTGGTTATTATCCAAAAAGAAAAAAATAACAAGTGTTAGCAAGGTTGTAAAAAAAAGGGGGGGGGACGCTTAAGCACTATTGGTGGGAATGGAAATTGATGCAACCACTATGGAAAACAGTAAGATTTCTCAAAAAGTTAAAAACAAAAATGGCATGGCCATCTAATCCAGTAATTCCACTACTGGGTACTTACCCAGAGAAAACAAAAATATGAATTCAAAAGATATACACAAACTTATGTTTACTGCAGTATTTATAATAGCCAAAATATGGAAGCAGCTACCTAAGTATCCATTGATAGGTGTGTGTGTGTGTGTGTGTGTGTGCGTATGTGTGTATACATACACACTCAACCATAAAAAAAGAATGAGACCTTGCCCTTTGTGACAACATGGATGGACATAGAGGGTATTATATGTGGAATCTAAAAAAAAAAAAAAACAATGAATAAGCAAACAGAAACGGTCTCATAAATACAAGGAACAAACTGGCAGTTGACAAGGGAAGGGGTGTAGGGAAGATAAGTGAAGTAAGTGAAGGGGATTAAGAAGTACAAACTTCTAATTATAAAATAAGTCACAGAGTTGAGAAGTACAGCACAGAGAATATAGTCAATTAGTATTGTAATAACACTGCACGGTGACAGATGAGAAAATTAAAAAAAAAGAAACCCTGTACTTTTTTTTTTACCTTAGATTTATTTCTTTTTTTAATAGTTTATTGTCAAATTAGTTTCCACATAACACCCAGTGCTCATTCCCACAAGTGTCCTCCTCCATACCCATCCCCCCTCCCCCCACATCCATCAGTCCTCAGTTTTTGTCAGCATTCAAGAGTCTCTCATGGTTTGCCTCTCCCCCTTTCCCCCACCATTTCTCGCCTTCTCCTCCCCCTTGTTCCTCAGTTAAGTTCCTCCTAATCCTCCTAGACGTGCAAACATATGATATTTGTCCTTCTCTGCCTGACTTATTTCGCTCAGCATAACACCCTCAAGGTCCATCCATGTTGCTACACATGGCCAGATTTCATTGTTTCTCATTGCCATGTCGTATTCCATGGTATAGATAAACCACATCTTCTTGATCCATTCGTCCAATGATGGACACTTAGGCTCTTTCCATGTTTTAGCTATTGTGGAGAGTGCTGCTATGAACATTGGGGTACATGTGCTCCTATGCCTCAGCATTTCTGTATCCCTTGGGTAAATTCCTAGCAGTGCTATTGCTGGGTCATAGGGGAGTTCTATTGTTAGTTTCCTGAGGAACCTCCACACTGTTTTCCAGAGGGGCTGTACCAGTTTACATTCCCACCAACAGTGCAGGAGGGTGCCCGTTTCTCCACGTCCTCGCCAGCATCTCAAGTTCTCTGATTTGCTCATTTTAGCCACTCTGACTGGCGTGAGATGGTATCTCAGTGTGGTTTTGATTTGTATTTCCCTGATGAGGAGGGATGCTGAGCATCGTTTCATGTGTCTGTTGGCCATCTGGATGTCCTCTTTGGAGAAGTGTCTGTTCATATCTTCTGCCCATTTCTTCACTGGAGAAACCCTGTACTTTTGAGCCAGTCATTTCCTTTCCCCCTTCCTATCCCCAAGCCCTGGAAACCTCTAGCTTACTTTCTGTCTCTATGTATTTACCTAGTCTGGACATTCATATCCATGGAATTATGTAATAAGTGGCTTCTTTCACAAAGCATGCTTTCAAGTCTCATCCATGTTGTAGCACACATCAACATTTCATTCATTTTATAGGTGAATATTATTCCATTATAGAAACATATCACATTGCATTTATCCATTCATTGGCTGATTCATATACAAATATCCATAGTGTTCAAAAAGTGGAAACAATTTATACATCAATCACCTGATAAATGAATAAAATGCAGTATATCCACACAATGGAGTATTATCAAGTCACACAAATCAATGAAGTACTAATACACGCTGTAGCATAGATAAACCTTGAAAACACTATGTCATGTGAAAGAAGCCAGTAACAAGAAACTGCATGTTGTAAGATTCTATTGATATGAAATAACCAGAATAGGGGCACCTGGGTGGCTCAGTTGGTTAAGCATCT